ATGTCGGCACAGGGTATGAATCAAAACCAGTATGAGCGTCGTGTGTACAACTGTTACAGTGGGTTACTTCCTTTTCCTTTTCTCCACGTGGTTATAATGGGGGTTGTAGAGCATGGTAAAAAGAATCAGAAGTGGTATCAGCAAGTATGGCAAATAGACAGATAGCAGAATTAGGCGCTCATGTTGTGTCTGAGGTCCCAAATGCTCAGACTTTGAGAAATCGTGAAACAGGATATGCGCGAGGATAGCAAACAAAGTTGTAGCTACATGGGTGGAGTAGATAATTGCAGGAGTCCTTATCCATTTGCAGCCACCTGTATAGAAGCAAAAAGGGAACGCTGTTGAAGTGTTCTGAAACAAGCAGAATTCAGTGGCTTTTAAATTAACAGAACATTAACTGCTGTATCTCTGACAGGATAAGCCGTAAGTCATACAAAATAGGTAGTAGGAAAAAACGTACCAGTAGCAACCCAGGAAAATTATCTACCTTTATGGCCATTTTAGAACAAGGGCGTGATCGTAAAAGTTTTAAAGTAACAAAATGAGTACACAGGCTTGACCCAAACTTTATGTACCTTGGAAGCATGCCAGATGTCAAGCATTGGTTCCATGTAAATGTCTGCAGTGCCAAAGGGCCTGTAGTCACAGTGTTTGTTTCTGACAGGACTTATTCTGTGCTGCTTTGTCAGATAAAACTCACCATGAAAATAGCACAGCGCTCCGCATGGTACATCCCTATAGTTGCTTAAGACTGATAAACTTTCTCTGCTGTACCAAAGCAAGTGTTAGGCAGAAATGCTGCACAGGACATACTCTTACACTTGTTCCATACCAACCTTTTAAGAAGGCGTACACTGCAACGGGGAAGAAAGGCATTTGTAAGAAGGCTTCGCAATATATAAACGCCTTAAACCACTCTGGGGGCTGGAGCATCATGGGGTCTCTAAAGGTGGCTGCATACCACTGCAACAAATCTGTCAGCTAAAAAAAAAAAAAGAGCACCACATTAATACATGGAACGTCAGCTGCAACGGGAAAAATTGAGACCCGCATCTGGCAGTCAGACGAAGCCATCGCTGCAGTGGGAAAAACAAGTGATGTCGTCTTGGTATGCAAGGCCTCAGGACGCAACTTAGTTTTAACAGGGACTACATGTCTGCAGTCTTTAAAGTGATGAACCCTTTCCATTAAGTATATATTAACTTGCACTACTGGCAATTTTTGGATTACTACAGCATAAAGTGCAGTTGCTTTCCAAAAACTATTTCTGAAATGTCATTTCTTACCAGGAAAAAAAAAAACCCCAAATTACAGAAGACCTGCACCTTGACATTAGTAGATATTGAAGAACTCTCGCATTTTCCTCTTTCTCACCCTATTGCCAGCTGAGGTGGGCCCCATCTTGCAAATACCTTTAGGCACTTGCCGTGTCTAACCGGGAGGTGTGGCCCCAGCCAGGCCTCACCAAGCCAAGGAGAGTCTGGGGCCTCGTTCAGTCGGGGAGCGCGTCGTTAGATCACAAGGTTCGTCACTGGCTGCTGCTGCTCAAACAGCTTGATGTAAGAATTTTGGCTTGGCAAGTTCAATTAGTTTCCATGACAGAAATGTAAATTCCAGCATGGCCTTAAGTTGGACTTTGAACGGAGAGATATGTATTGAGATTTGCTAGTTAACTATTAATTTAAAATGGTTTCTGTAATGGAGTAATTCTACATGCAATTCTAATGGCAAAAATCAAGTTCACTAATTGTAAACCTCATATAGGAAGTTTATGGCTGATGTCATCCTGATGACAAGACTTGAACTGATTATCTTCTATCCAGCTGTTATTTGAATTTACTTTATTATGTTTACTGTATTCTATAATTTTATTCAAAACCCAGCAAACCAGAAATTTTTACTAATAAATTTGGTTGCTGGTGTGCCTGCTTCTACAGCGGTAACAATTCCCTTTTGCGGTTTGGGCAGGAGGACAAGCAAAAATCAGGATCACGGGGTGACCAAGGCGACAGTCAGATCCAGGGGGGCTGTGGCGGCGTGTCAGCGCTGCCGGCATCCTTCGGGCGCT